TACTTTAACTAAATAAATATATAAAATATTTCTGAATACTATATATATATATTTTTTTTTTTTTTTTTTTGTTATTATTGTATTTAAATGTATATGATTTAATAATCAAATGAAAAAATATTAACTATATTCAGTGATAATGAAAATTTATTTTTTTTTTTTTTTTTTATTATTTTTTTAGAAGGATGAAAAAAATATTATTAATCATCAATTAGGTGTTAGACATGATAGTGGTATAGCAAGTTTGTCAGCAGCTATTGCGCTTATATCAGTTGGAGGGGTAGAAACTAATGAAAGAAAAAAAAAAAAAAAAATAAAAATAAAAAATAATAATATATTTTTAATATATTTATAACCATTTAAATATGTTTAAAAAAATTTTTTTTTTTTTTTGTTCTTTTTTTTCAAGGTTGCTCAAGGTATAGGTAATTTATTTTCTGCTTTGGTTTTAGGTACAAGTAGAAATCCATCTATCAAAGATGAATTATTTACATATACCTTAATTGGAATGGGTTTCTTAGAATTTTTAGGTAAATATATTTTCACTTTTTTTTTTTGAATAATAAGATTTTTTTTTTTTTATATTTCCATTAACTATTATATATATATATATATTATTTTATTTTATTTTATTTTATTTTTTTTTTATTTCTTTTTGATAGGTATTATTTGTGTATTAATGAGTGCTGTTTTATTATATTCATAAAATAATTTTTTTAAGATTCTTTTTTTCTTTCAAAGGGAGTGATATATTTAAAGAAAAACTTTAATAGTCTTTATATTGCAATCATTATATAATAAATTTAAATTTTCATTTAAATATATATTATATATATATATATATATATATATATTTTTTTTTTTTTTTTTTTTTTTTTTCTATCATATCTTTTTGAAAACAATTAAAAATCTTCTTATATATTAATGATACACAATTTTATGTTGAATTTATATTTATATTTTTTACATTGTTAAAAGTATATATATACAATACGAATAAAATAATGTCAAAAATAATACAGAATATTACGAAAGCATATATACAATTAAATATTATCTTAAATTTCTTTGAAAGAATATTGTTGCATTTATGTTTTTTATAAAATAACTATAAAATTAAAAATTTAAAACTTCTGTTCATATTCTTATTAATAGCAATATTAGAAAAAAAGAAAAAAAGACTTTTTTTTTTTTTTTTCTTACCTTGTATATACATTTAAAAAAGAAAAAAGAAAAAAGACAAAGACTTTATATATATGTAATAATATTAAAAAATGAAAATATATAACACTTTAATAAACGGAGAATAAAATAATACAGTTAATAAATAAATATATATACTTATATATTTTTATATATGGATATTTTAATTCTTTCGTAAAAATAGAAGGACAAATAAATTATACTCTATTATTAAATTTTTATTTAAATAAAAAAGTGCTTTATGTAACAGTATACTTTGTTTAAAATATTCTCATAAAAATGATTACTTTTTTTTTATTCAATATTTTTTGTTTTCTTTTTATTTGTTTTTACATCATTGTAGAAGGAAAATCATGCAAATTTAATGTAAAAATCAAATAATAAATAAAAAAAAAAAAAAACCAAGAAAAAATAAAAAACCTTCCTTTAATGCACTTATATTTTTATACAGAAAAATTTGATAATAGAAAAGCATAATGATTTCAGATTAAAACATAATGCAAAACCTATTTATTGGTTATTTTTTATTACTTTATTTAATAATATATGTTATTATTAAAAGAAAAGATATATTGAAATTATCTTTATTTTATTTTAATTATTTTTGTTTTTTTTTTTTTTTTTTTTGTTTTGTTT